AAATTGCTTTGGGCTTTCCGCGAAATTTTCCTATTTGTAGCGGTTTAAATTAAAAGAATTGAATTTAATCTACTCCTTTAAATGCTACTGCATGTGTTTTGTACATATATTTAATCACTGTATTTGATTGTTGCGTCTGCTTGCTGAAAGGAAAATTTGAATTCATCTGAAATTGAAAGGCGCACTATTTGAAAAATTATGTTTATGTTTATGATAGTGTTTAATCATTTTGCTTTGCGAAGAAGTAGGGCTGTCCCTTACGTTATTGTTTTGTTTAATTTGCAAGTTGACCTATGCGCATCGGTGATTAATTTGGTTGAATTAATTCTGTAGTTGAACATTGATGCTTTTGAAAAATTAGTTGAAATATGAGCATAGGACTACTTGCCTAACAGGCTAGCTAGTTTTGGAGATTATCAGATTGAAATCAGCTGCCGCACTATTTTAGTAAATGATAATATGGTGGGTGGCCTGGCTAGGCCTACTTGTTGAAAATTCATACTAGGGACTATCTGTGCGTTTCGTTCGGCTCTCCACAGACGACGTTCATGTGGAATTGGTGGGTGCTCTTTGCACTGAAGCTTAGGAGGCCGCTCGGGGCCGCTTCGTGTCGCGTCGCTGTTTGCAGACCTGATCCGGTCGGATTGCGGAACTAATCATAGGGGCGCAGATAGGTGTTTGAAAGAGGTCGTCGGACTTCTGTCCAGTACAGGACTTGATAAAGTGCTGCGATGCCCAGGAGGGGCATCCAGTGGAGGCTGACCCTCCGGCTTGCCACGTTAGGGCTATCTTTTGAGGCGCTGGTTAGGGTTGCAAGACCTGATGGGTTGCCTAAGGTGGCCTAGTTTGGTTGTAGATTCGGTCTTGCAACTTGCAGTCTCGACCTTGTCCCGCTGACCGGTTTGCTCGCGGACCTAAATCCTTATGTCCGGGACGGGGGTTTGTTCGCGCAAAACGTTGATGTCGGAGTCGACAACAGATGTCACTCGGCTCAGCGCGATTCCGGTTTGAACTTCGGCTGGGGCGTGGCACGAGCGCGCGAGTCGCGAGCGAAGAGTCAGTCGTCCATAATCGGTGCTGACGTGAGCACGCGGTCTGTTCTGTTAGGGAACTCGGAATAATTAGGTGCGGCCCGTAAATATACGGTCTAGGATTTGTGACGCACATTCCTACTGGAGAGCTTCCCGGGACTTATTGTGTCTGACTCAGAACCTGCATAAGTGCATTCGACAATATAAGCTAGTGCGGCCTCGGTATTTAGAACTAACTGTTGCCACGCGAAACGGTAGTGACCTTTGACCCAGAAACTCCGGGCGTGTTTTGTGCGGTAACCTTATACCCCGCGATAGTTAGTGGCTTCTGTAAGCTAGTTAATCGTACGATAGAGTTAAGTGACTGTCATCGTGGTGAACCAAGAAAGTGACTGTGGATAACCTCAAAAGGCCCCCTCAAATTGGAGCGGTGTCGACGCTCGGGCTGCTGCCGACGGCTAAGGTCCAGGTTTAATCACCATCAGTCACACCCAGATACACACCACATCACCATTCTTTCCCTTGCACTACACAACTACATGCGACCTGACCGACTCCGGAGGGACCAGTCGTCTTGGATCGAGGTAAGTGAACTCCGCCAAATTCCCTCCGGTCGACTGGCCGTAGTATAACGCTCCCCCATATATTTTAGTGTAATTAGAGAGATTCCACGTGGCCTTAGGAGGCCCGACCTACGTCTGCTCGAGAGGTCTTCAGCTCATGGGCCCCTGAGGATCTGATCCTTTAAGAGAGCAGCCGTAGGCCGTAACAGCGGCCTTTGATATTCTAGAAATAACTGTTGCTACGCGAAACGGTAGTGACCTTTGATCCGGACACTCCGTGTTCGTTTTGTGCGTTAACCTTATAACAAACGAGTTAGTGGCTTCTGTAAGTTAGTTAATCGTACGATAGAGTTAATGGACTGTCATCGTGACGAACGAGGAAAGTGACTGTGGACAAGCCGCGGAAGATTACCTCATTGTGGAACTCGGCTGCTGCTGGTCGCCTATGCTTGCCAAGGCCCCATACATTCACACCTCACTGTACACTACTCGCCATCCACTATTACACACACTCACGGCCTGCCCAAGCCTTGGTGCGAAGTTAGCTCCGGATAATGGTAAGTACTATGTGTTTCTAGCTTTCTCCCATATTGTTTATTGTAATTAGGAAATTCCACGTGGCCATATTCTGGCCCCGTCCCTCTGCTGCTCGTCGATGGGATTACTCATGGGCCCTAATCTCGTCGTCTTTGGTTGGGGCAGCTAGGGGCGTGTACACTTACAATAAAACCTTTTTTTAAATTTGAATACTGGTCTCTTAGAATCTTAATGACATTCAAACAATTAAAAAAATGTTTAAAAACAAAAATTATGTTGGTTTAAAGTTGACACGTCGTTAACATAAATGGAGCTCACGCGTGAACATTTCCGTGCCATAATTTATCACAATTTTCGTCGCGGCTTATCTCAAAATAAATGTCTCAGCGAACTTGTTTCGATTTATGATGTTGAAGCACCGAGCCATACGACAATATAACGCTGGTATGCCGAGTTCCGACGCGGTCGTGTCGCTCAGCACTGTTTCTTCTGTAGGTCGACCAAGAACAGCGGTCACGCCTGAAAACATCGCAGCTGTGCGAACTATTACATTAGATGACCGTCATGTGACATACGAACAGATTCGGGCTGTTATCAGTATCGGAATGACTGCAATTCAGTCGATATTACATAATGAGCTGTGTGTAAGAAAGCTAGTTTCCCGCTGGGTTCCCCACAATTTATCCGAAGAGCAAAAGGCGGCTCGTGTCGATTGGTGTCGGAATACTCTGCAACGCTTCAACGGAGGGAAGTCAAATGCCGTTTATAATATCGTCTCAGGTGACGAATCATGGATTTATTCATATACGAACCTGAGAGAAAACATCAGTCAGCAGTTTGGATCTTCGAAGACGAGGTCAAACCAAAGAAAGTGGTTCGCTCCTGCAGCGCGTCAAAGAAAATGGTCGCTACGTTTGTCTTGAAAAAGGGGCATGTTGTTACAATTCCTTTACAGGACCGTAGAACGGTTACCGCTGAGTGGTATATCACGGTTTGTTTGCGAGAAATGATAGTAATGAAGATATTGCCGAAAAAATAACCCGAAACGTCGCATCATCTTACATCACGATAATGCGAACTCCCATACGGCTCTGAAGACAAATGATTTTTTGAAGCAGGAAAAGTTGAGCTGACGAGCCATCCTCCGTACAGTCCTGACCTGAGCCCAAATGATTTCATTACATTCCCTAGAATGAAAGATTTATTCACGGTCAATGGTTTGACGATCCCAAAGCAGCTAAGGAAGCGTACAAATCAGCCATTTTGTCAACATCAACTTCAGACTGGAATTACTGTTTTAATGATTGGTTTGCACGAATGGAAAAGTGCATTAAGTTGAACGGAGAATACTTCGAAAAACAATAAAATACAATTTAGCTATACCGTGCATGTGATTTTTCTTATTCCCGATCATTTCAGTGTGCCCCTCGAACATTTCGTTTTAGTGCCATTTAAATGCAAGTTATTAACGTTAAATCAATTTACTAATTTAGATATAATAGCATTATTTACTTTGTCATATTTTAATAATTTTCGTTTTCATTTGAAAATTAATGAAGTGTCATCAGCAAATAATACTATATTATGGTTATCCCCTATTATGTAAGGTAAGTCATTAATATATACAAGAAACAGAAAGGGGTCAACAATTAAGCCTTGAGGCACACCAATTTGTACTATCGACCTGGAAGAGCTCATACTATTACTGATAACTTTTTGCATTCTGTTACTTAAATATGAAACAATTTATATAAGAGCATTACTTCCTACACCAAAGTGTTGTAGTTTCTTGATTAATGTTTCATGGTGAACACAATTGAAGGCTTTGGATAGGTTACAAAATATTTTATACATGGTAGAGCCATGCTGCAGCTATATTAGTAGTATAGTTGTAGCACGAATGGGTCGGCTCGACTGGGGAAGGACCACACTCTCACAGAATACCAACGTAAAATAGCAACTTAACACTGCTGTGTTTCGTATGGTGAGTGTAGAGAACCGGAAACCTTTTTTACTGGAAAAGAGGCATTCCATCTTAGTCCTCACGGGTGACAACGCATATGCATTTTGATTCACAAATGAGGATAAACGTAGATGTCTATGGGCCACAGCAACCACTTACCATCAGGTGGACTGTGTGCTCATTTGTCACCCTATCCTATAAAAAAAATATACCCAAAGCATCCTGTGAATTCTTCCATGCATTGAAAATATATTTAAACAGCTCAACACCAGCATCAGCTGTTGAGCAACCCCTTGTGAAACCGAATTGATTTTTATGAAGTAAATTATTTACATTAAAAAATTTACTAAGTCTTGGCAGTACAGAAATTGCTCTAAAATTGGTGGAGTCTAGTGTACTACCAGATTTAAATAAAGGTATTACTTTAGTATGCTTCATTAAATCAGGAAATGGCATATTCAATACTAGTATTAAAAATAATAGCTATTTGAGGTGTGATTATATTGATTATAAAAATATTTAATTTTTTATTATTGCTACATAAAACTAAAAGTAATATGCCAGTAAGTTTATTGGTTATACTTGAATGAAAAAAATCCCCTTCCATAAAAGCTCCAAAAACAACACAAACACTTAATGATTCCATTTATTTACACAAATACTTAACATTGGATAACTTATTTTGTGTTTAACTTATTTTTAATAACCAACATTTCGGGTGCTTTACAGCACTCATGGCCACAGGGGGACGGAGGTGTTTGATGTCCTTTAGGTTAGCATGGCTGCATAGCTTTTGAATATTAATTTTGAGACTGATCTATGTATCCAGAAACTTTACAAAGATAAGTTAAATTAAACATGATAAAATAAAATATAAAAATAGTTTTATTGATCACAAATACTTACTTCATTTTCTGCAAGGTAGATAACATGTGCTTCAGCTTCAACCTTGGGCAGTTCCTCACCATCAATTACAGGCAGCACTCTCACCTGGGCTGTATAGTACTTGTTAACAAGCTGCCAAACTCGCCATCCTGCCTCCTTACTCACATTATCTTCTATTTCATTATCAATTAACTCTGAAATTAATGTTGAAAAACATCTTCACAAATCTACATAATGCCCTTGAAGCCAAATTTTAATTATGGCGGCTGGTCCTAATAGAGAATAGCCACCTGCACCGGACACGTCAGTAGAGATGCTCTTATAGTCTGATGAGGTGGCAATTTAAAGAGAGATCAGACACGACGAGAACACTGGGCCAACGGATTTACAAGCTTTCTGAGGCTCAAGGGTGAAACACCACCAACTTGCTGACTCAGAGCTGCAACTGCAAATTTCTTGACTGAATAACCCAATAATTAATTTTGGCCCAACCCAGGTTTCAAACTTAGAACATGGTCAGCAGTACCTTTTAAAACACTAGACCAACGAGCCAGTCTCACACACACATACACACATATACACATATTTATTTAAGCTTTATTATCACACCAAGTACAAAAAGGACTTTTGTCTTTATTAATGTCACACATTCTGAGACAGAACCAATGATATAAAATAGTTACTGTCCCATTTTCTATTGAATGTAGTTTATCTCTACTGCTAACTTAAAATCTTGGTAAAATTTTAATGTTTAAGTACTTATATTTCTGTAAAATGTAAAACTAAATTCTTACCTAACTTTACAGGCTTATATACAAGTAATATTTTATCTATACAAATAAATAAAATTGAAGTGTTTGTTTGTAATGTCAAAATAACAGGTTTTTACTAAATGCATATCAAAGTATATATGGTACTTAAAGCAAAAACACAATTTTAAAAATTTTGTCTATCTGTCTTTTTGTTCCGGCTAATCTCCGAAACTGTTAGACCGATTTTGATGGAACTTTCACTGGCAGATAGCTGATGATATACGGAATAACTTAAGCTACTTTTATTTTATAAAAAGAATTAGGGTACCATGCAAAAAAAAATTAAAAACCTAAATTACACGCGGGCGAAGTCCCGGGGAAGAGCTAATGTAATATAAAATTACAGACTACACACGTCCCACACCTAGGCACGGGCCTGCTCCTATCTCAGACGGTTTGAGGGTAAAAAAATATCCGCAACACTACCTCAATGCTCGTGTTGGCGAACTCCACGTCTTCGAAATATTTTTCATTTTCCAGACGTGCAGGTTTCCTCACGATATTACTTTTCACCGCCGAGCACATGATAATTTTATTTTACTAAGTTATTTCATATAAATGTATATAAATTGTGTTGTATGAAGATGAAGATAAGATGATGCAGTATGCAAATACTATACCTGATATTATACTTGTCGACACAATATTATCAGATGCGCTTACTAATATAACAGGTAAATTATGTGACGACATAATTATCAAATCTTTAAATCGTCACTGTAAACATTACATCTCTAAACACAGTGCTCCACTTTTATTATTATTGATTATTTTATTTATTACATTCAATGAATTAATAGCAATTTATTAAATATAAAATAATAAGCGATAAGTATTCAACAAATTTATAAACACAATTAAAACAATAATGTTTAAATATTTCCACCAGTTTATTTTTATTATAATTTCCCGGTAGGCATGTCAATCTAAAATCGATTAATTGAAAAACCGATGACTTAGATTAAAATCATCGATTTTTCAGATCGATTTGGAACACTTGATGGCTCGGTGGCGCAGTTGTGTTGAAGAGATGAGAGCCTCGGGTTCGAATCCCGCACGGAACAAGTATGTTTATATCCTATAAATAATTGTTCCGGATCTGGATGTTTGTTCTTGTGAAATTTATGCATGTAAACTGCCATCACGATACAGGAGAAAATCTTAGTGTGGAGATAACGTTTTAAAAAAATAAAATAAAAAAACTATATCGATCCGATAAATCGATCCAAAAACCTCTTGAATCGGACTGATTCAAGAACTATATAGTGATAAAGTTCCTAAACTGGCTGCGGTATCTTACCTTTTTAACTTTTTTGCTGTTGTCGAACGCAAAAACAACCGGTCATACTTGATTGATAATTTGAACGCAACAAATACATATTTATGAACGTGTCCAAAGATGTCGATATTTACGTTTTTTTTATAGAATAAGGGTGACCACTAACGAGTACTCAGTCCACCTGATGGTAAGTGGCTGTTATGGCTCATAGACATCTTCATTTATCCTAGATTAATAATCAACATACAGCATTGTCACCCCTGAGGACTTAGATCTAATACCTCGTTTCCAGTAAAAAGTTTCGCCGATTTTCAACACTAACCGTACAACACACAGCAGCCGGCAAATAAAAGTAAGCTGCTATTTGACACTGTTTTCTGTAAGAGCGTGCTCCTGCCTCGGGTGAGCCGACCAATACACGCTACAGATAATATAGCTGCAGCGTTGATCTACCACGATAAAATATGTTACTTACTAATAAAAGAAAGTTGTCACTTGTCATTATCATATCAAATCTTACCCGTGGATTCCAGTATCTAACCTAATCTGTACTTTATTTATCAAAAATATACTGTGAGTTAATATTATTTGTTGAAGTTTTTAGTAATGAAATAAACAGTATGTTCGTGTAGCATTCATTTAAATTTATCGAAGAATGTAAGTTGCATTTTGCACGTTTTTTAAAGTATTGTTGTTCTTATATGTATTATTAGGCATTAGGCACGTTTGACAATGTCGCGATTAATAGAAAATCGATCTCTTAATGATCGATTTAATAAGTTTTTATAACCTCCTTGATAAGTTCTATTTGAATCGAATCGGAGATCGATTTTATTTTAAGTGAATTGACATACCCGGCTTTATAGCTCTGGATTCTAGCTCTTGTGAGCCAGAAGTTACATTGTATAATCATAGACTTAGGATATACTGGCGTACAGAATATCCTAAGAATATCTATAATAGGTTTCGTACTCTGGTTCTGTACTCGGATAGCCATCGTAGCCCTACTGTACAAGCACTTCAACACTTCGATATACCGACAGTCAACTTGGCATCGCTGAAGGGACTGCAGCACCGCCCAAATTTCGACGGAATCAAAGGCTTTCTCATAGTCCACATACGCCAGACATAGTGGCAAATTGTACTCCTCGGACTTCTGTACAATTTGCCGAAGGGTATGTATGTGGTCTATGGTGCTAAAGCCTTTTCGGAAACCGGCTTGTTCGGGAGGCTGGAAGTCGTCAAGTCTGCGCGCGAGACGATTCGTAATGACTCTCGAAAACAGCACGTAGACGCGGCTCAGAAGGGAAATCGGTCTGTAGTTCTTCAAGAGAGCGTTGTCACCTTTCTTGAAGAACAAGACCACCGCACTTCTGCTCCACGCCTCCGGTGTAATGCCACCATGAAGGACGGAATTAAAGAGCTTCTGAAGGACTTCAAGTACCGGTTTTCCACCCGCTTTCAGAAGCTCCGCTGTAATTCCATCCTCGCCTGGGGCCTTGCCGTTTTTAAGGTGCTGGAGAGCCATTCTAATCTCGCTCAGACTGACGTCCGGGATATCATCGGAATAATGTCGGATAAGACTCGCTCTTGGATCGTTACTCACACTTGCGTGCGGCTCCAACGATGACGTGTACAGCTGCCCATAGAACCTCTCAATCTCACTCAAAATCTCAGGTGTCCCGGAAACGATGCTGCCACATTCCGTCTTCAGCTTTGACAGTTGGCGCTTTCTGGCAGACAGATCTCTGGCAAAGACTTTGGAGCCTTGGTTCCGCTCGATCGCTTCTTCAATACGAGCTGTATTGAATTTGCGTAAGTCCCGCCGCATGCATTTGGAGATCTGTCTGTTCAGTTGCCTGTATGCTGTTAAATCTGTTGAAGAATGTAGCTTCATCTCCCGTCTAACAGCCATGAGATTAAGAGTGTGATCGGAGAGTTTTTGTGTTCTTCTGCGGCGGGTCTTGCAGAACTTAGCTCCGACCGCATGGACAGTTTCCACGAGCTTGTCATTCAAATCGTCCACTTCATTGCAGTCTTCTAGGCACTGAAAACGGTTTTGTAACTCGAGCTGAAAGGTTTCGGGACTTTGGATTAGAGCACGAGGGGGACGGAGCGTTGACTTCATTAGACGAGACCTCTCCAACTTAACGTTTAGGTTCAGTGTGCCTCTAACCATTCGGTGATCGCTGCCGGTTTTCACCCTCGCGATCACTGAGACATCACTGAACAGTTGTCGTCTGGTCGTCATAATGAAGTCAATCTCATTTTTTGTCGAACCGTCGGGGCTCGACCAGGTCCACTTCCTGTGGGGCCGCTTCTGGAAGAAAGAGTTCATCATAAAGAGTCCCTCTTTCTCCATGAAGTCGGCCAGCTGCTGGCCCCTTGGGTTCCGTTGCCCTATTCCAAATTTCCCTACTTTCAGCTCACCGTTCTCTCTTGTGCCTAGTTTTGCATTGAAGTCTCCCATTAACACCGTATATTGGGTTTTGGAGGAATGCATGGCTCTAGAGATATCCTCATACATTTCCTCCACCTCCTGATCGGAGTGTGCCGAGGTTGGTGCGTAAACCTGTATGACCTTCAGCGAATACCGTTTGGTGATTCTGAGTATAAGGTACGCAACCCTCGTCGACACACTCTCAATCTTTACAACGTTGTTAACGAGAGACTTGTGGACGATAAATCCGACACCTCCTTGGGACTGATGGTCGCCCTCCCGGTAATAGAGCAAGTTGCCGGATTCGAGGATTACCGTGTCCTCCCCCTCTCTTCGGACTTCGGATAATCCTATAATATGCCAGCGTAACTTGTCTATCTCTTCTTCCAGCTCCACAATCTTCTCGTCAGTCCTCAGGGTGCGTGCGTTGTATGTTGCCAGGTCGAGTCGTCGTAGGTGGCAACCTATCCAATTGCAGAGAGGTGTAAGACAGGGTGACGTCATATCCCCGAAACTCTTTACCGCTGCATTGGAAGATGTTTTCAAGCTTCTGGACTGGAAAGGATACGGTATCAACATCAATGGCGAGTACATCACTCACCTTCGATTTGCCGACGATATAGTCCTTATGGCAGAATCGCTGGAGGACCTAAGCACTATGCTCAATGACCTCAATAGTGTTTCCCAACGGATAGGTCTTAAGATGAACATGGACAAAACAAAGATCATGTTTAATGTCCATGTCACACCTATGCCGGTAGTTGTTGGGAACACTAAGCTCGAAGTTGTTGACGAGTATGTTTACCTGGGACAAATAGTCCGACTAGGTAAGTCCAACTTCGACCGAGAGGTCAATCGACGGATTCAACTCGGTTGGGCAGCGTTCGGGAAATTACGGCACATCTTCTCGTCAGGTATACCTCAAAACTTGAAAACGAGACTGTACACCCAGTGCGTGTTGCCAGTGATGACATACGGAACTGAGACGTGGTCCTTCACTGCTGGCCGGATGAGGAAGCTCAAGGTCGCTCAGCGAGCTATGGAGAGGGCTATGCTCGGAGTTTCTCTGCGTGATAAACTCAGAAATGAGGATATCCGCAGTAGAACTAGAGTGACCGACATAGCCCAACGGATTAGTAAGCTGAAGTGGCAATGGGCCGGCCATATAGCTCGAAGAACCGACAACCGATGGGGAAGAAAGGTTCTCGAGTGGCAGCCTCGTACCGGCAGGCGAAGTGTAGGGCGTCCCCCCACTAGATGGAGTGACGACCTGGTAAGATATGCAGGAAGTCAATGGATGCAGGTGGCTCAGGACCGTGCTTTGTGGCATTCTTTGGGGGAGGCCTATGTTCAGCAGTGGACTTGTGAAGGGCTGTAATGATGATGATGATGATGATCTATAATAGTCTATGTGTATAATTACCAAAGAGAATATAATCACTAATAATTACCTTCATAGTAGGGATGCCCGATTTTTTGTTTTGAATCGATCTACTGGATCGTGATGGATCGTAGCCTGGTGAATCGATTCACGATTTAATCATATTGCATTGAATCGATCTTATTCCATCTCGAAAAATCGCATCGTAATTTTATAAAAATAATGAAAAGGACAGTATGCATGCAAAATTATTTATTTTAACAATGCCTATTACGGTATCTAGTGAGTTTTTCCAAATTATTATTTTTGATCTAGCCTAATAAGGCTATTTTTTTTTCTAAAATAAAAGTATGTAATATCGGCTATTTGCCAGTGAAAGTCCCGTCAAAATCAGACCAGCCAATTTGAGTTTAGCCTGAACAAACAAACATACAGACAGACAGACGGAAAGACAGACAGGCAGACAAAAATTTTAAAAAGTTATTTTTTGTTATTAGTACCGAATATACTTTGATATGTATTGAGTAAAAAGCTGTTATATTGATATTACAAACATACATTTCAATTTTATTTATTTGTATAGAAGATAGATACTTACGATTTTGGAAATTGCTGTAGTAGAACTTTCTTCACTTTTGCTTGGCTCAGAATAAGTGTATGTGATGACGTCTGAGATGACTTTAAATTAATTTTAATTAAAATTTAAATTAAAATTATAAAAAAGCCCAAACGTTTCATTTGGTTGGCGAGATCACATTTAAAAGTATTTTAAAATAATAGTTTACACTCACAGAACAGCTCAACTTTTCGTATCGCAATAACACAAAGAATGAAAGAGCATAGAACACTAACATAGTGTAACGACCCCCCCCCCCCTCTATATATACTTCTACTTGTATTTCTTTAGAATCTATATCTAATAATGTCCTCCAGACCGAATTTCGGTCACGGCTGCCAGCCTCAACGGAGACTAGCCATTTGCGCAGGACAGGATTATAGTGCCCAAGTGTATGCGCAAGCACAGGTGCACTCTCTATTCCCTCACTCTAATAGTCTGATGGGACGGTAAACCGACACGACTGGAGAGAGATCAGGCGCAGGGGCAACGGCTTAACGTGCTTTCCGAGGCACGGGGGTGAGACACCGCCATCTTCCTGACTCCGGACAGCTACTGAGAATTTCTTAATAGCAAAACTCAATAAATAATTGAATCTATATCTATAAGATATATAAATATATCTTATTTACGTGACCAGTATATTAATCATACATTGACATTCTAAAGGTTCAAATATAGGCCATTTAATAAATTTATGGTGTGATCGTCTTAGTAAGGACGTTTATTTACGTTGTGTTTGTATAGTAACTTAGTTCTTTTAGGTGTATCTTGGAAGAGTGAATATTCACGAGAGCAATGGAAAGCTGTTTGTATTGTCTTATAAGCTAAAGAACCCCATTCACGAAGACAGAGCTCAAAAAAGTTAAGAACAATAAATTGTCCCTATTCCACTTGTATCAGGTTCACAACAGTCAATTCCTTATTAATTAATCCCTTCCCGCTTGGAAAAGGCTCACAATATTTATATCAAATACCAGATAGAAGGGCTTCGCTCTCCCACATTTAAAAAAAATGTAGAGGAGGCACACGGCTCCGCACACGCCGTGCACGGTGAGTGCCAACCATTTTAATGCACTGCCCCCGAAGGGTACGTTAAGTTGGGAACTAGACCGTAGTCCACAGCAAAATAACTGGCGTACCAGTAAAAGAGGACTTGGCCCCTTGATAGTGCGGAAGCACAAACATCGACTGAAGTTGCGCATGTCAATGCGTGTAAACGCCATACAGAATACAATCAAATCAAGCCGCAGTGAATGTACGTCACACTGGTTAGGCAACAATAAGCGCACTGGCCATGAAGAGCCCTCCGTGAGCGCCACCACCTGCCAGACCGCCGTTCCTGCAGACGTGATGTAAGTGTAAGGCATCACCACCAATTGCATGGTCAGCACGGCCAATTGGCTGCAGAGCGTGTCATGAGTTCACCACTCACCTCAAGGGAATGGGATCCCACGTTGTACGGCTTTCGGCCGCAGCCTTGAGAGCCTCCTCAGATTCTCCCTCCAGCTTCCACCCGCATGAGGTCGACACATGTGCTCCACCAACCAATACAATGGCAGATATAGCCAATAGGCAGTTATAAGATAATAGTAATAATTCGCCATCAGAAAGGGTTTGTGTCACCGTGCGGTAGTTGTTCAAGTAAAAAGTTAAAAGTTAAAAGTAGTTAATTTCTCCGCGGATTTTAACTCAAAGTTGTAGTAAAAAGTGATTATTAAACGTTTAATTTATAACTAACATGCAGCCAGTGAAGTGGCTCGTTGATTGGTGAAAACCGTTTATCATTATTTAATGTAGATCCGGAGAAATGGCTGAATAAAGTTTAATTATTTTTAAAATACGGCCACCAACATCACCGGCAGCATCAACAACAAGCGCGCTGTCGATGAGTCACCGTACTAATTGACAGCGATCGCCGTCCGTCACGAGCAGAGAGCGGCCTGCCTGTGCAGCGTTTAGACTGACTGATAGCCGCTGTGCTTCGTTCAAGCGTCGTTTCGTGCAAGTTGTGCTGTCTATACTTTGTTATTTGTTTTGTGTATTATTGAATCATTTTTTTTCTTTTTTTTTGAAAAATGTCTTCAAAAACCAATGTATGTGCCAAATGCCGACGAAAAATCTAAGACCGACGTTTTCGGAATTGTACATTATGTAAAAAAAAACATTTGATATCGAATGTGCTAGTGTATCGGAAAAACAGTTTAATCTTATGGATCGGTCAGGTAAATCACTGTGGACATGTGAAAAGTGTATTAACAGAAAAAATAAACCAACAACTAGTACACCAATTATCAGATCACATCCACATAAAGTAACTACTAAACCAACTACAAAGAAAAATTCTACTAACCGGAGGTCAGTGACGGTCGCTACGGGTAAAAATAAAACAAACGTTGAGCAAGAGCCTGCTATCAGCATAAAATCATTATTATCACCGACTTCATCGCAAAGCACATCTCTTTGCCAGCAGCCGTCACCTATGCTACCAACTAATCTAGAATTGGCCTCCCCGGATGGAACATCTATAGCGGACGTCTACACTGATCATGCAGTATCATCCAACCGGGTACCTGACTGTACCATTCATGTGACTCAACGAAGGAAAAGAAACTCACATGAAATGTCACTGCCCACTGTAGCCTGGCAACTAAGAGTTTACCAGATTTGGTCTCATCTGGTCTCCACATGAAACTAAATATAGTATCATGTTGGAGAGAGTGCAGAATATATTTATTAGATATTTATATAAAAAAATGTATACCCATTTTACCCAAATAAGTATCCTACCTTATTCATCTTAGGTATGGTAGTATACTACGAGCTAAAAACTAGAAGGAATTTAGCGCTAGTCTTATATATCTTTAAGGTGATGAGGGGAAAAATTCACGATCCAGACGTATTGCAACAAGTGCGCATGTGTGTTCCGGACAGATACGTGTGGCGGCGGCGGCGGCCGCGGCTGCTGGCTGTGCCGCGCGGCCGCACTAAGTTGGTGAATGAGGCGCCGTTTACGCGCGCACTCCATATCCTCAACCGTATAGCAGAAGACATTGATCTATTTTGTTGTACTCTGGATGGGTTCATAGCGAGAGCTCTCTTTGAAATAAGTTATGGCCCTACTGTGACATAAATATGGTGTTTGTTATAGAAAGAAGTACATATTGTTACGAGCTTGGGATTCGAGATAATTACAAACTGCCGAGTGAATTACCAAAATTGACTATTTAATTACAC